GGGGGGGGGGGGGGGGGGCCCCCCCCCCCCCCCCCCCCCCCCCCCCCACGCCAATCGCTGTTTAAAGGACAGGGGTAAAGGTAAAACCACCACAGTCCAACTGGACCATAGGGCTGCTCTCTCACGAGGGAGAGACGACTGGTGGTGGTTTAAACAGAGGGTTCATTTGGTGTTTTAATTGAATGAGAATTCCTGATGTGAAAGTCAGAATGGGTACCCAGTGCCTCCAATTTGCTGCCCGCTTCCCCAGACTGCCAGTGTTTCAGGGCATGCTTCAGGGCATAGTTGCTCACGTCCCAATTTCACAGACCTTGGCATCTGATACCTACCAGCCTCTGCATGCCACCATGGCACGTCTGTGATCCACTTGGAATACACTTCTGCAATTCAATGCTGTACTTTGGAGTGCACCGGCACCTCTCATTAGAACGGTGCTGCAAGAACACTATGCAGTTTGGACAAGCAGCTGGCTCCCAGGCTGCACCTGCGGGCTGTTCACTCACTGTCTCAGCGGTCCCTCACTTCGCACCTACCTCAGTGCTCACAATACCACCATCTTGCTGTGCCTTTTGGCACTTTGCCCCCTGAGCCACTAAAGGCTGACAGTACTATCGTATTGCCCAGCACAGACAGACTGCTTGTCATGCTGGGCAGCGGGTATCAGTCAACAGATTTGATATGTCGCTCTATGGTACATTCCTGCCTCAATCCCACACCATGTGCCAACAGCATACACTGCGAGCACACTGCATGCGTTGTTGCAAGGCTCAGCCAAAGTCCTCAGCGAAGTTCAGGAAGGCAGCCACCAGTCAGGGACCTCAGCGAATTAGTCAGGGGCAGCCTCCAATATCAGACCAGAAGATAGGGACATGGTCATTCAACTACTTGGGGCAGTCAGCATCAGGACGGTCTCGTCAACCGGGATGATCAACTGAATGTCAGGCAGGCCAGAATGTCAGCGGCTCTCCCTCTGCCCCCGCCTGTGGTCTGTTTTCTCCCAGAATGAGACAAGGAGAGGGATCGAATGAGGTGAAAGTGGTTGGATCAGCTGTTAGTGCCAGTGTAGGTGGCGGGAGTGGAGTTAGGTGTCGGAGCAAGTGAATAGGCAGTGCAGGGTTATGGAGTGGGGGGCGAGGGGAGAATGGTGGGTGACTGTGAGTGAGGGCACATCTTGCAGGCGATAATGAGCGCGGTAGATGGCGAGCCTTGGTGGGTGGTGGCCGCAGTAGCAGAGATGGAGCAAGTGTGGGGCAGCAAAGGAAGGTCATGGCACTTACCCTGGCAGAGCAGAGGAGGTCAACGGCTGAGACCGTAGTGACCTGCGTACCAACCTCAGACCAGCCTGACAGGGTTTCAAAGAAGATTTCACAGCATTTTGCATTTAAAAAGAAAAGTAATGAGCTATTTCCATCTCTTTCTTGTGGGTAATTCTCTTTGTAAATGGTTTCACTCAAGTTCTCCTTTCTCTGTCTGATAACGTCAGCAGAGCTCAGAAGACCAGAACAAACTAAAACAAAAGACTCCATGTGACTTACAGAAGCCTCAACGCTATAGGGCTGAAGTATTCGGAGTGTCTTTTTTCTGCAACAGAAGGCATGTCGTTGTTTTTATGACAAGATTCACTGGAGCATCAAGGACACTATTTTGTTCACCTCCCCACAGGAAGTTGGATAACCAACAACAGACAGATGCAACCAACAACCAGATCTCTCTCTGGTTGTTGAGAGATCTCGCAAAAGATCTCTCTCTACACACCAATACATTATCCATGTGAGAGTGTTAGTCAAATCTTCCTGGCTGGGCTGAAAGTTAGAAAACTGCGAGGAAAGATTTCCAGAGACACAATGGATAGAACCCCAGGCTTCCACAAGAGAATGTGAAAGATGACTGCATCTTCAAAATCAGTCTCATACAGCTCAACTTTCCACACCTTGAGCTCATTTCCATGGCACATATTCACAGATGGCTCCATCGAGGTCTCACTCAGTGTCAGTAACTCAAACACATGTTGATACCCTCCTTTTCCAGCAAGGGTATCAGACAGTAATGTGTGGCTTGTTTACTTGTTTGAAATGGGGCCAGAGGCAAAAACATCTTCCAGAGGCTTCTCCTCTGGCTCTTCATTTGTCTTACTGTCACCTCTACCTGAATTCATTGCCTATACACAAATGTAATATGCTCATTCTTTTATTCAATCTATTTATAATTAAAATAATTCCAACACTCAACTTCAGGAACAGCTTCTTAAGTACCATATACCTGTAATCAAAATATACTTTAAGGATCACTGCTAAAGTGATGAGGAAGACACCTTTCAGATTCAGAGACTGGATCTCTTGACTGCCTTTGTATTCATATACTGCTACTGCCCCCTAGAGGTCTTCCCCAAAGACTGAAGGTGGAACATTACAGCAGATCATCACACACACTGCAGTAACAGTCATTGCCCTTCGCATGTGAACTGTGCATTAATCTGGCATCAACAGTTAATTACAAAAAAAAAGTTCCAAACCTCTACCTGTATTTAAATGTTTTTGGATATGTAATCTCAAGGCCCTGGTTCATGCCTGTAACATTGCCCCCATGTGAGGGATTATTCTACCCATTACCTTAGTGGGTTCCGTCTTTCTGTCACTGGTATGAAACACACACGATATATTCCTTAACTTAAACCATCATGTGTGCTTAGTTTTCACATGCAAATTTAATTTTAAAAATGACAGTAAATAGTGTCTACCGAACCAACAGAGAAATGCTTCTGAAAAGCAGTAGAAAATGAATGAAGTGGTGCCCATTCCTCGCTGTCCTGAACAGTTGCATTTTACACTGGGAATATCAAGTGGTGCTGCATTGCCCTCGTGTGGCGAAAGCTGGGACAGCAACAAATATACATGCACGAGGAGTCAGATAATTTGCAGCTTTGTTCCTTTAAAAGTATTTACAGAGGGATGGATGTACCCTGCAGATTTTGTAGTAATCAAAGAGAAAGTATTGAGGAAACGTAAGCAAAAGACTAACAAGGAGTAAGTTCTGTTCAGGAATGGCCAAGCTCAGGCCTCTCAAAAACCAACTCTACCTTCAACAGGAAATAGAAGGCACACCTTTTCTCTCTTAGATGAACGTAATAAAGATTCCTTCACCCTAGGCAATAAGAGTGTTGTGAAGTTGCTGCATCTAGGACCAGGTTATGTCAGCCACCCAGCTACCTGGAGCTTCAGCCTGTAGAATGTGTGGACCTGCTGTACATCTAACATTGTGCATTTAAAATGACACTACACTGTGACACCACACAGTTTTACATTGCACACGTTTTACTTTGTGTCTTTCAAGCTTTTCCTCAATTTTTAAGGATTCCTCTGTGAAAATAGTGACATAGCACAATCGTGAGGCTGGAGACATCTGCAACAAGTGGGACTTGAACCTGCAACTTCTGGCCTGAAGGTGGAGACACCACCAGAAGAACCCAGGATCTGACTTTTATAGAGATAACAAGGTGCAGAGCTGGATGAACACAGCAGGCCA